CTGCACAAATCAGGGAATACTCGTCGCAAAGACGGTCGACTTCTTGAGCTTGAGCACGAGTCATTATGCTCTCGCCATTCTCCCAGGGTTGAAGCTTCTCGTTGATCTGTTCCATTCTTGCAAGTGTTGCTTCGCGGAGTCTCTGCTTCTTCTTCCTGATGTCGGTGTTGGTTGACTTGGTAGCAGTCGACCCATTTTTGTTGCGAGGAGGAGGACGAGGATGAGCGCCGACAAAGGGGTCATCCCAAGATTTAAGGGTCGTAAGGCTCAGTTGCTTCAGGTTTTTGTCCAACTCGCTCTCGTCCCAGCCTCCGTTGCTTGTATTCGCATCCTCGTCATCTTCCTTAACGCAGATCCTGCTCGAGAGGAGGGGCTGACGGTTCGTCCCTTTCCTAGCTTTTCTCGGTCGTTCACACGGAGATGTGGCTCTGAGCTTCCTCTTGTTATTTAAACGGACTGGCGAGATGTCTGGTTTGGTTTCCAGTGGGCTTTGAGAAACCCAAGAGACAATTGATTCTTTTCGGAAGACATTATCACGTCGAGGCGTTACTGGAAGGCTGGATTTGCAGTTGGTCAGCGAGAAGCCAAAACGATTGCATGGGTCGGATCACAGCTTGTCTTGACAGTGGGATTGGTGACATACCTGCCCATTTTGTATTGCTGAAGTCTTTGATTGACTAGGTTTGAGTGGTGTCTGTGGTTGATGTCTGGTTCTGCCGAAAGTTGTTCCTGATGTTGGGGAGCTGGCTCTGGAAGCGACGTGGTGACAAGGTGATGGAATCCTACCAGGAGAGGATAAATTAGGGAAGAGACTATGAGGGCAGAGTTAAATACAAGAACTTGGAACCCTAATCTGCGTGGCTGTTCCCTTCCCATGCACCTCCAAGCGGAACCTTGGGTGGAGGTGTTGATGCAGATGCATCATGTAGCAATGTGCAGAAGGCCCAAGTGACCTCAGACAACATGAAGGCGAACCAAACCAAAAGCGGCTTAATAAACTGATTGCGGGTTGAAGAAGACAGAAGAGTAATACATGTAGATACCTAGATCATTGCATTGTACCCCGGCGTCGTAAGTGGTCGTAGGTTTCGCTGTCCACTTGGACTTCAAGTACGCATGTCTGAAACCCAGCGAGGAAGCGTGAGGTCATCAAGGTTCGTTCTTTTCTTTTCGAGGCGGCCATGCAGCACGTGCCAGGCATGACTTTCAGCAGAAACTGAGCTTGGTTACGGTTCGAGTGAAAACAATGAGACGACTATATGGCAATGGTGTAGTTGACACTTGGCGAGCAGATATCAGGAAATGTCGCTCTGGAACTGACTTTATAGCATCTCCGCATTGTAAAAGCTGGCCCTGAGGAGGACGGCCGGATCAGACATGGTGGCTCGTTGGTGAAATGGACAACACAACGATATCTTGGTCCTTCGTCGTTACCACCGCGATGCTGTTTAACGTCAGTATCGAAGTCACGACCGGTTCAACTCTGCTGTCGGTCATGTTCCTTACCCCTTGTCCCCCTTCAAGGTTGATATGATCTTTTTACTCTCCGCATTTCCTTAGTCAGGTTCATGACTGGAGCTGGCTGTTACCATCTGCCGTTTTCTAGCTTTTCGTAGTCGTGAAAGGCGAGAGGGTAAGTGGGCATGGCATGTAAGGATCTCATGTCAAAACTTTGAGGGTGGAAATGTAATCCATGATGGAAAAGACACCGACAGAAAAGATGGAAAGAGAAAGGATCGTTGCCTGAAAGGAACTCAATGGAAGAGATTGAGAGTCTCACGATTTGTCGGGAAGGAGCTCCCGAAATACCCCCTTTTGTATGCCCCAAGGCAACTGAGCACACCTTCCCAACCCATCTGATTGCTTGTCAACTGGAAGATAAGTAAATGAACTGACTCTCCGGTGGCAGGCACTATCGACGATGAAATGATGGTACAACTGTTTTCAGACGGACAAAACTTGGCCCCAATATTTGCCAACGTTGGACGGGGGACGTGGGAGTTTTCTCATCAAAACAGCCACGATTAGCAACGTCACAGTTTCTGGAAGCATGCTCCAGCCAAATTTAACCATGACACTTCGTTCAATATGGCGTCTTCCGAGTGAGCCCACATGTACTGGCAAGTTAGTGAGACACGAGCGTTCATGTTGGTGATAATAGTGAGATGTCTGGCCTTGAACGTTGCGAGGCGGCGGGATAGATGTACCAGATAGGTGAGCTACCAAGACACTCGCTCCTGCGTCGGCCTTACACCCCTCAGAAGAAGTCACCATGATTCCACGAATATAGGAAATATGATCACTGTGGTTCTTCCGTTTTTCAAATCCTTAACTGTTTGAATGTACGGAAACCCATCACTTGATGATTGCTGATGTCGAAGGAGGTACATGTCCCCTTGTCGTCCATTTGCCAGTTTGTGATGTTGGCTTGGCGGCTGGCGAACAGCTGGTGGTCAGTGCACCTCAACCTCGCTGCCTGCCCCGGGACAGGAACTTCAATTGAACTTCTCGACCTCAGAGCAAAAGCCAAAACCACGGCATCCCCGGTTCAGCGTCCGTGTGTTGACATGGAAAAAGCATCGGATCTCCAGCATCGCCCTCATCATCCTGTTTCAGCGTCTCGAGACTGACTTTCTTCCGCCGCTGAATTTTGCTTGGAATCAATGACACCAAGTTTCAGTTGATCCTTTTTGCCCCTTTTCCACGAGTGGGGTTTTGGGAAGCAGGGGAAAGGGGGCAACCGACAAGACAATCGCCAATCATGTTGCGTTGTTCGTGGGAGTTGTCATCTTGGGTGTGAGAGGCAATGTGGTTGATGATAAGCGACCAGCTGGCAAACGGTTGCCTTATCAATCCTGATCAAAGCGAAATGTTGAGACGAAGGGGACCCTGCAGCTGGCAGTGCATTGCCGAAGTGGAATTGTGTCGTTCCTGACAGCCCGCCCAGGGCAGCGCCGGAACTCAGGGTTCAGCACTAACAATTTTCTAGCGGGCAATTACAGGGGAAGCGCGTCACCAGCGCTGAAAGTCCCCTGGAATGATGGAGAGGGCCAGACTTTTGGGGTCAACTGGGTCAACCCGGGGATGGATGCCCTGGAAACTCGGATTCCATGTTTCTCCAGATTTCTGGCGAGACCTTAGGTTCGCTTCTACATTCCCGTCAATTCAACAGTCCTGTCCAGTTCTATGTTTCTTGTATTTTTCAGCCATTGAAGCCATCGCAATACGTTCCATTGCCTTGAAAATTACCTACGACCAAATCAACGATCCTCCGATATTCAACGATAACGTGGGGGAGAATACCCGTACCGTCTCCATTCAACGCCC